GTGGAGGAGGGAGAAAGTAGTTTTTTAGTGTTTCTTTTTCCATTTTAAAGCAATATACACTAAATTTGGCAGATAGCAAGAAAACTAATTACAGCCCCATCATTCAAATATAATCACAGTTAACACTTAGATTCATCTACTTTTAATCTTTTTAAAAGAAGATATTTTTTAAAACCAACAATGTTTGCTCATAAATTGGCTATAGATACATTTAAATGGCAAAATTTAAATTTTAAAAATTTGGGTTACAGAACCTATTTTCAAAAGGATGACATTTTCCCATAGGAAATTTCCCTAATTACTACCTAGTAAGCTTATTTTTCTGAAAAGATCTTTAATGACTGGAATCTTAGGAGTTGTGTTACATGACTCTAAGTTGTGATAGGGTTTTTCGCCTGGTGGGTTATCACAGGATATAATGTAAGGAAGAAATACGAATCCCATTTCCCAGAATGGTTAACAAACTCAACTGGATCAATTCATTAGTTGGTTTCCAATACGCTCAAGCATCAGACATGGAAGCCAGATGTTTGGAAGGAATCTCACCTAGATAATGGTAAGCAGAGGGAAGCCCGTACCACCTCTGGAGAAGAAAAGCTACTTGTAAATATATGGGTTTTCTTCAAAGGTGGAATTGAAGAATACTCTGTCATGAGAAGAGGGAATACTAGATAAATAGCAGTGGACAGTAACAATCATTTTCAAATTTCAAGCTGAAAAACTTTGAAAAAGGTCTAGAAAGAGGTCATGATTTAGATTTCTACAGAGGGCATTATTCTTGCCTATGCCAAGTTCTCTATAACTGAGATTTTAAAAATTAAAACATAAATAGTATAATCACGATCTACTTAACAGAAGGAGAAAAACAATCATGGGGATTCAGACTGGCTAATTCACACTGAAACTGGGCTTTTTCTCTTCTACTTTTTAACATGTGAAAGAGCTGAAAGAGAAGGCTGCTCCTTGGACAAGCGATGCTGTATCCCACTCAACTCCTGGCTACTTCAGGGAGAGGTAAGGTGAACTGAGGCACAAGAGAAAAGTCACTGGGGTGAAAGTTACTGAGACAAGGGCAGCTGGTTTTAGATAGCCACATTTCTATAATATATAGCCTACTCTGAAAAAGAAATCTTACACAGGTTTTGGGGAAGAAAGTAATTTCAACAAGAGTATAATCTATACTAAAAGGAACAAGGAATAAATGAGCCATCCATTCTGGATATTTGAAATGATTCAAAATTTTCAGTTCATCCACCTTGAAGATATGATTCATTCAGTGAGCTGTCACATCACGTATTACAACGGTTTCTGACATGCTTCAATAGTGCACTTCTAAGAACGTGAACTGTGCTACTTAACACCTATGCCTACCAAATAAGCGAACAGCATTTTATCAAACATCCTTGACTTTCCTAATATAACGAAGATGAATTATAACCTAATGGCTGCAAATACTTAAAAGGTGGAAAAACAAAACAAAACACCAGCCTAGTTGCTGTCAAGTCCATTTCAACTCATGGCGACCCCATGTGTTTCGGAGCAGAGCTGCACTCCACAGGGTTTTCCACGGCTGTGATCTTCGGGAACTAGATCACGAGGCCTTTCTTCCGAGGC